TTCTGTCCACATCGACTGCGATGCGTTCTACGGGCTGTGGAGCTGCTTGACCGGCCTGAGCTCGAGCATCTGCCGTTCGCTGTTGGCGGTGGCGTCTTGACGACCTGCAACTACGTGGCTCGGAAATTTGGCTGCCGCAGTGGCATGGCCGGCTTCGTCGCCAAAAAGCTCTGTCCCCAGCTCATCTTCATCAAGTTAAATTTTGATAAGTACATTGCCAAGGCTCAAGAAGTCCGCGAGATTATTGCCCACTACGACCCGCGATTCGAAAGTGCTAGCATCGACGAGGCGTATCTCAATATCACGGAGTATTGCAGCCCAAAGCCATTAGCCCCGAAGATGCCGTCCAGCAAATGCGACGCGAGATCCATGAGAAGACGAAGATTACAGTCTCCGCTGGCATTGCTGCCAATGCAAAGCTCGCCAAGATTTGCTCCAACATGAACAAGCCGAACGGGCAGTATCTGCTGCCGAGCGACCGGGCGTCCATCATGAAATTCATGGGCAGCCTTCCCCCACGGAAGGTAAATGGCGTTGGCCGGGTCCTCGAGCGCCAGCTGACGGAGATCGGCGTAACAACCTGTGGCGAGATTTACGAGTACCGACAATATCTCAATCAATTGTTTGGCCAAAAAGCGTTTGAATTTCTGATCCACTGCTATCTCGGCCTGGGGCGTACCAAGATCCAGCCGGCAGAAGAGTACGAGCGCAAGAGTGTAGGCACAGAAAGCACGTTTCACGATATGTCAGATCCAACACAACTCACGGAGAAGCTGAGATGGACGGCCGACGAGTTGGAAAAGGATATGAAGAGAGCCGAGGTCAAAGGCCGTACTCTGGTGCTGAAAATCAAGCTCCACACATATGAAGTTTTCACAAGGCAGGTCGTCACGCAGAAATCCATTTGCCTCGCAGATGACCTCTTCAACCACTCTCTGCCTATTCTCACCAAGCTGCAGCAGGAGATACCCGATATGAAGCTCCGCCTCATGGGCCTGCGGATGACGCACCTGGTGAGCACGAAAAAGCCCGATACAATGGCGTTCTTCGGCTTTCGATCACGGAAGGACAATGCTGCAACAGGATCTCCGAGCAAGTCTGACGCGGATGGCGAGAAACTCAATACTCAAGGGGTGACGGACGACGATGGCTGGGAACAGTGGCCGGAGGAAGAGCTTTTCCAGCTCGATGAGGAGCTACAAGAGCAGGCGAACACTGCCGCAGAGGAAGTCGAGGACAGCGTGTCAAGTCCCTTTCGACGTCACGGCAAGGAGATTCTTCCAAACCCAATCGACGAGGATGCTCCCGTCAGTGATGCCGAACTCTGGGACTGTCCCATTTGCGGCCGTCCACAGGCGCCCGACGAGAGGACGTTCAATGAGCACATTGACCTGTGTCTGTCTCGGCAGACCATTCGGGAGGCAGTTCAGGAGGATGTCGCTCCACTAGCGGCCGCTTGCATCAGGTCAAGCACCCCTGAACCTAAAAGGACAAAGCTGGGGAATGACAGGAAGCGGGGAAGGCCGTCGAGTGCGAATGCTGACCCTCGACAGAAGAAGCTCTGTTTTGGATCATAGAGTGATTGGCAAAGATAGGTTTCGAGTTGACGAATGATACCCATGTTGGATGATAGACTTTCGTGTCAGCTTGCGTCAAGGATGTGACGACCCAGTCGACAAGGGTCGAGATGGCAAAGAATTAAACCATAACAGAACCAGGTAGGTTCGCTTCTTTCGCAGCCAAGGTTGTGGGACAAGAATCAAGGTGCTAGGGAGCGGTGATGCTCAACCCGTAGCACTCGACTGTAGGTCTGACGGCGAGGCACGCCGGATTCGAGCCCTGTTGACGGGAGTAGACTCCAGCCTCGATGCCTCTCAAATCACGCCCATATGGTCAGCCAACTAGGTCACGCATGTTCCTTCACTGCCCGTGTTTGCCGGTCATGGACTATGGAATGGGAACGCTGTGGTCAGGCTTGGGATCCGCACGACACTGATCTGGACTGATGGAGGCTGAGATTGCCAACATGCTGGCCAGCGTTGATCGCAATTCTG